GAATGCATCACATTATTTATATGCATACCTCACTAGGCATATGTGACATCAAACTTGAACTCCAATTTCGAACAGCAAAGTCGTAATCCTCACCAAGAGAATTAATAAGATTGTACAGAGAATTTTTGCTCAGTCAAAAAGATAAATTATTGAGACAGTATAAACCTTAAATGTGGAATTTGATTAATCAACAAGACGTGTATTTACTACTAACCATTGTTGCTGAATGTCCAGCATACAAAATGGCAGATATCAGCTTCTGAAACAGTGACATTCGCTTGTTGTGAAACTTTGACAGCAAACATACAATCATACAAATAAATTGCACCCGATTAGATCTAATGGTCGACATGTACATGTAATTATGTTAAACTACAATCAATGATACAAAGAATACCTTTCTGTAGCTGTGTCAGTAGAAGAATATAACAAAATTAGACAACACTCCTTAATCTCATCAAAAATAACATTCCACAGAAAATTTACAACGTTGTCTTTCCTTTTTGACCTTTGAACGGAGTTTACAAGAACAGTTCCCAGCTTTTTCAACTCAAACTTAATTTGCTTCCCGACTACATGTATATACTTCAAAACTTCCTTATTCTTCAATGCTAAATTAGCTAAGAGTTTGCACATCGACTCAGTTGCCGTACAAAACTCTTTCGTGTAGGTGATGTTACAGGATATAATTGATATCCACTTTTATAGCCAATTCCAACCTAAAAATAAATATTAATTTACAGGTATTTCTACATTAACTTACAACAATTGGAGGAGACTCAGGAGAGATACATTCGGGGGCAGAATCCTGAATGATACATTGACGTTTAGTGGCACCATGCAATGCTGATTCTTGTGATGCCAATCTCTTTCTAGTAGCAGGAATTTCACTGTTGCTTTGTTGACTAGCTAGAACTGAAACAGATGCAGATGTTGCCTCATAGAGGTGCTCATCTTTTTCCAAGTGTTTCAGGTACACTTTGGAGCAAGATCTGTACACAAAAGAAGAACCAATGACATGCAGTGTCTAGATCAACTTCCAAACTGTTTTCCTGACATCTAACAGAAAGGTACTTCTTTAGTAGTGAAGATACAGTAGCTGCCGCTACTCTAGCCCGTTTCAAAACTGGTTCTCCACAAGCAAGACAGTTAGTGCCATCTACCGACGCCATTTTGATTATGACAGATAATGACACGAGAATGACGCTATACAATGACGCACACGGCCTGAAAGCAATCTGATTGGCTGTGGACGCAGGACAAGACATCTTAAGCCATTGTACCAGACCCTTCCACCCCAATGACTGTAGGCTGGGGAATGGTCTGACTAGTGCATGAACTCTATACAATTGCTTTACTTGCACATAAGTAATAGACTATGGCTTGCTTAGGCTCCGCCCCCCTTTAATGTTTTACATTCGTCTAGTAAACTTACCTTTAAGCTTTTGTAGTTCATTTTAGTCCTAGAAGTGTGTG